CCAAGGCCCCATAGATTACCTAGGCCTCCTCACTGACACCCACATTCAGGGGGTCTGGATCAGTCCCATGCTTTCCACAGCCATCAATCTGGGGTCCAAGAACTCTCCATTGTTAGGTCAGCTGTTTCTGTGGGTTAAAGCAGCCCAGTCTGAACTCCTTTGATCATCATTTCTCCCTTTCTATCACTGGATTCCAGGCGCTCAGTTCAGTGTTTAGCTGTGGGTGTCTGCGGGTGATCTAATGTGCGCTTCGCTGCTGTGGTAAAATATCTGGATGAAAAACATCAAATGGGAGGAAAGGATTATCTGGCATATAGTGCTGTTACAACCCATCATTTTGGGGAAGTTGAGACAAGAACTCAAGTGCTAGTCACATCAGTCAAGAACAAAGAGAATAAACATATTCATGCTTGCTTTTTCTCTTTTACTCTTACCTAGTTCAGGCCAGCCTAGGGAATGTTTCCATTTGTGGTGAGCTGGATCAGTTAATAATCAAGTCAGTCTCCCACAGACATGTTTACAGGCCAACATGATCTAGATGTGTTGTTGAGGTTCGCAAGGATGTTGTACATGGCTAATTATAGAGCAAATAGATTAATATAAGAGAATCAAACCTAGTAAAACACACACCTTCCCTCTCACAGCTGAGAGTCCCGTGACAAGGCCATAGAAGCTTGTTGTGAGAGATCTCAAGAGTCCTAAATTTTGGCAGAAGAAATCTAATTGTTGGATACAATGTTAGCTCAGTAGACTGTGAGGTGGCTGGGTGTGTGTGCAAACTTGTCACATGTTGAGAGCAAGGCTCCCAGAAGAAGGTGTGTCCTTTTATCATCCAGAGTGTGTGGCCTGATTTGGTCAGGTTCCTGCAGTGGCAAAAGCCTTTCTACAAGGGGCCTGAAAGGTACCTTGCTCTCTAACCCGTAATGACCTAGCCTCTGAGAGATAGCAGTCACAAGATCAGGGCCACTGACCTCACTTGCATGGTGTGAGTCACAGTGTCCGTTTTCTCATTGCTGTGACAAAACACCTGCCAGCAGCAGCCTATCAAAGTGCTTATTTTAGCTTGAAGTGTACTGGTAGTGTGAAGGCAATGTCCAACATACATAGTGGGGCAGCATGAGGCTGGGTGTGTTCCACGTAGTGGGGCAGCATGAGGCTGGCCGTGTCTCGGTGAGAGCAGAGTGCTGAATGCTGGTGCCCATCTTGCTTTCTCCTTTATTCCATCCAGGACCACCCACCTCACTTGACCTAATCTAGAATCCAGCTACTTGTCACTATTACCTATCACCCTAACCAGAAGATCACCCCGTTGTCTCATGAGTAAAGTTCTTTCGTTACTGCCCTTGTCTCCTTCACCCTGGCTGTGTGCAGTAAACCTAAGTATTTCTGCTCTGAAGGTTGAAGCTTTCACCCAGCTCAGCCCCAGTCACACAGCAGTCTCGATAACACACTCACAGGGGGACTGCCTTGAGAACCCTGTGTTCACAGGGGGACTGTCCTGAGAACCCTGTGCTCACGGGGGGCTGTCCTGAGAACCCTGTGCTCACAGGGGGGCTGTCCTGAGAACCCTGTGCTCACAGGGGGGCTGTCCTGAGAACCCTGTGCTCACAGGGGGACTGTCCTGAGAACCCTGTGCTCACAGGGGGACTGCCTTGAGAACCCTGTGCTCACAGGGGGGCTGTCCTGAGAACCCTGTGCTCACAGGGGGGCTGTCCTGAGAACCCTGTGTTCACAGGGGGCTGTCCTGAGAACCCTGTGTTCACAGGGGGCTGTCCTGAGAACCCTGTGCTCACAGGGGGGCTGTCCTGAGAACCCTGTGCTCACAGGGGCGCTGTCCTGAGAACCCTGTGCCCCGCCTTGTGTCTGCTGTTGTGTCTCCAGTCTCTCTCCCTACTCTCCTGCACTCACACCTCAAGTGTGTACTGTCCATTACTTCCGATTAATAAACTCACTGTGCTTTACTCTGGCTCGTCATGACATTTTTTCTGTGGTGTAGTCAAGGGCCCAACTCTGAATAGGGACCCATAAGGGGGACGTCCTCAGGCTTCAGGCCTAGGCAGTGTCTGCAGTTGCTGTGGTGACAGTTACAGGCAGTGAGCGTAGCTGTTAATTGTGGGACACAGGGCCATGCAGGAAATAATACAGGTCACCTGGGTGTGGTTCTAAGTCGCTTTTGCTGGTTGTAATGTGAGGATAGCCTGGTGATCTGTGAGGCTGCAGCAGTCTTTTAAAGCTCTTTCATTGGCTTTAGTTGGTGTTGTAGAGTTGGCTGACACTGGTGGTGAAGCAGGGAACTGAGCGTAGTTAGTTTTATAGTCACAGGATGGCTAAGAGAGAATGAAGAGTGGACTTTGTTTGCAGTTGCTCTGCTTAGCACACCGCATCAAGGAGAAAGTTCCGAAGACTAATTCGTTAATTTATGTTGGTTTACATACAAGGAGGGGCTTGGCTATTTCCCTTGTCACTGGTACTAGGCTTTGGTGGTTTGGCTGCTGCCTGTTTGCTGATTTCTGGAGAGGTCAGGAAACAATGAGGTGTAGACTTGGTGCTTCCATCTGATGGATCCCTGCTGCTTAGTTGGGACCTAGAACAGAAGTTTAGTACCAAACGGTGGTCTCTAACCTGTATTTAACACATCTAACCGACAAAGGCGCTACCGGAAGCAATGCCGCAGTCTGGAGATAGTTTGGTGGTGGCAGCTTGACAGATTGGATGCCTAGATGGAGGCTGGGGGTGGGGCCTAACTTCCTTCAGTGTGCAGAGCAGCCCCTCTTGCTAGGATTCCCTGCCTTGAAATGTCAGCAGTGCCGTAATCCCAGCACCCTGGAAACAGGCAGGGAGGTGGATCTCTGGGAGTTTGAGATCAGATTGGTCTACAAAGCGAAACCCCAGGCCAACCTAGGCTACATGGTGAAAGCCTGTATCAAAACCAAAAAAACAGCAAAGCTGAGAAACTAGACCGTGCTTTGTTGAGAGGATGCAAGGAGGAACAGCGTGGGCTAGGAAGTGGAGTAGTGCTTGATTCCTCTTCCTTTGTGGAAGCTGTTTTGAAAGGGCCCCAAACCTAGAAAAGAAGTAAGTTGTGTTTTATTGGAGGTGAATTACATCAGGCAAGAGGGCTAGTTTCTACAGCGCTCGTTCCTTCGTGCGCCATCTAGCGGCCGATGTGGATTTGACCAGTGGTTTTTCTCAGTTCACTCAAAGATTATACTAGCCAGTTTAGAGTCTGATCTGAGCATGTGCAGAATAAACCTCAGTGCTTGTAAACAATTGATGGGGCCGATTCCCTGGAGTTCTATTCCTAGTACTCTGAGAGAGCATTGTTATGGGTTTTCACCAGAGAAGACTGCTCAGACATGGGTTTATGTTATTTGAAAGTCTGTATTAGCCAGCCAGTAACTACACAGGGTGTTGAGGATCCCAGTGTAGCCCTGAGCCTTTCTCAAAGTGAGCTTTTAAGCACAAAAACCATGTTCTGGGTTGACATACTTCAGTTAACAAGAACAGTCAGCCTGAAGCAGAACGACAGGAGTCAGTAAGCAAGGTTAGTACATTTTGAAACTTTCTCAGCACTTTGATGGGTTAGTCTTCATTTTCATATTGGCAGGCAGTGCTGTCTGTGTGCTGAGTTTCATGGAGTCAGTTGTACTTAAGTCTGGGGTCCTGTTAAAAGTGTTAAGTGTTTTCATAGGAGTCTAGTGCACTTGCATAGTGGATGATGTTTGTGAGTCCTGACAGTGAGTTAGTTGGTGAGGTAGACCAGAGGAGATGAGGGAGATACATGGTCTGTTGATCATTTTCTTTTTTCCTTTTCCTTTTGGTTTTTTCGAGAAAGGTGAAACAGTCTTTCCTGTCCTAGAATTCACTCTGTAGACCAGACTGGCCTTGAACTCACAGAGATTCTCCTGCCTCTGCCTCTACCTCTGCTCTGCCCCGCACTGCCCAACTCCCCACCTCGGGATTAAAGGTGTGCAGCAACACCACCAGGCAATCTTTTTTATATTGAATATATATATATGTTGATTTATTTGACTGTGACACTGATATTGTAATTTTAAACTTTTTCTTTTGATTTGAAATTTGAGAAGTGAAATAAAAACATTTGGCATCATAACAAGTAAATAATGCTATGTGCCTAATTAGTTGAGTGGTAGCTCTTTTCATTAAAATGATCCAAAAGGCCAGCACGTTTGTTTATTTCATTTAGTTGAATTTGCATTTGCTGCTAATGCTTGAAGGCAAAAAGAGTCCTGAAATGCTCACTGTGAAAGAAGCAATAGTAGATGTTCTTCTACTCTGTCACCCGTACTCACCTAGATTGGTGTATCCTAACTAACCTCTATACCTGACTAGCATAAGACAACGCTTGTCGTTATCACGCTTATACATTTGTGTATTTCTGTAGAAAAAAACATGCATGCATACATTTTCCTCCTTTCTTGGTGGGTGTTTAAAAAGGCAATTTGGGATTTTAAAAAGTAAATGTATTTAGGAGTTAGTGTGGATCAGGGCTATACAGTTGTCTTCTTGGGAAGTCTAGTGTGTTAGAGAGAAACGGAAGTGCCCGTTTCTTCTGTCCAGGTGTCCCTTGCTGTGTTGTCTATGTGTGGGGACTAAGTGGATGTCAGGCAATTTTGCTGAATTACAAAGACACTGGTGTGCATTCTTGTTTCTGAAGGAGGAAATCCCTGTAGCCTCCTCCTGTACTTTAATTTTCTAGGAAGCTCTAATGTTAATTTGTGTATTTGTGAACAGTAGCTATACAATTTTTCAAAAATTCTATTGAAAATCTCTTTGAAGCCACTTTTATCAGCACAACCCTCCCTCCTCAGTCCCTCTAGTGGTGGATTGCAGGCATTGCACCACCACACCCAGATCTTAACACCCTTACCAGGGTACTTCCAGTCATGTCTAAGTTGGTGGGCAGGGTGAGGGAGTAAATATATTAAAATCAGCTGTAATCGTTTGTGAGCATAACTGTTGTGTTTTCTTTTTGACAGCCGATTTATTTTGCATATTCCTAGCGAGGAAAGAGACAATGCAATCCGAGTTTGCTTCCAGATCGAGCTCGCCCATTGGTTTTACTTGGATTTCTACATGCAGAACACACCAGGATTACCTCAGTGTGGGATAAGAGACTTTGCCAAAGCTGATATCCTTTCTCTTGCTATAGTGAGCGTCCTTTATTTTTTTCCAATAAAATATTTTAGCACAAATTTCCTTTTGCCTTTCTTTGAGTTTTTTTAACTTCTGTTTAACACATAATGAAAATAGAAATGTGATGTAGTTTTGTTGTATTCTTATTTTTCACAATACTGAAATTAACAATAACTAGCCTGTCTCTGGGGAGTTCTGGTTTTTTCTCTTGGTCTGCCATTTAACCTGGTGATCAGATCAAAGAGGCCCTTCTTCCTTAAGACAAGTCAGATGGAGTGGTGGCGCACACCTCATCACAGCACTCCTGGTCTACAGAGCGAATTCTAGGACAGGCAGGCCTACATAGAAAAGCCCTGTCTCAAAGACAAACAGACCCCCCCCCAATAAAGGGCAGTTTGTTTTATGTAATAGTTATAAAAGATTTATCCAAATGTTTATGATTATAAAATTAGAGCAGGGCATTGGTGGTGCATGCCTTTAATCCCAGCACTTGGGAGTTTGAGGCCAGCCCGGTCTACAGAGTGAGTTCCAGGACAGCCTCCAAAACAATACAGAGAAACCCTGTCTTCGGGGGGGAAAAATTATAAAATTGACTTCATAACAAAAAATGATAGGTTGCTGTATTAAATGTTCTTAGACTGCAGACATAAGATAGAAAGATTTTATACAGCGAAATTTTAAAGGGGGTTTCCTGAATAGACCGAAGCAGGGAGTAAATAGACTTGCAGAATTGGGAAATTCTAGAGCGCTCAAAAAAATCCTAGTTTGTGCCAAGGGTTCTTGGAATTGGGGTAGAGGCTCTTAGGTCTTGAGCAGGGTGATTTGATTTGGTAGATACAGTTTTTAGCTAATCAGTGTGTGGGGTGTGGCAGTGAATCTGTCCCTGCAAGGTCAGTGTGCTAGAGCTAGGCTTAGAGTAAGTACAAGAGACCTGAAATACCAAACTAAGTTCCCTGTCACTTCCCAGACCACAAAGTAAGGAATTCCTGGGGCTCTATAGAAGTCGGATGGCTTTCTGTTATGGCGACATTAACATGGCAGTGTTTGAGCAAGGGTAACCGCTCATTATGTGAATATGAAATCCAGGATGTGTGTGGTGGGTGACCTGAGTCTAGGCAAGCACCAGTATGTGCGACAGGAATAGGTCTAGCCGTGGTTCGGGGCTCCAGAAGAACACTGAGGACAAGGGCTTCGAGCGCTTGCTGGAAGAGAAGTGTGGAAGCTGGCGGCGAGTAAAGGGGTGCGGGTTTAGATGGAGTACCACTTTGGCCAAGGGCTTGGCAACTGGTTCTGTTCAGACAGAAGACCTTGCTTTTAGAGTTAAAATCTGGCTGTGGAAATGTAATTAATGACAGCCCTTTGTTTTGGACATCTTGTATAGACCTAACCGTTTTTTCCAGAACAGGTGTTCGTCTTGGATTTCTGATTAAGAATTTGCTCCTGGGTGTGCATGTAAGTTTTATACTTAACCTTAGTGTTACAGATACCAAAAACTTGATGCAGTTTTTTTCTTTTCACTTAATTATATGGAAAGGAACCTTCTCAATAGAAGGAAGTCGGCTTTGTTAAATAACTGAATGGTATCTATGTGCTGGGCATTTTGCAGTAAACAAGGTGGGCTTAGCATTTAGGGTCATGAGAGTTGAGGGAAATGCTTGCAATACAGTGTGGTGAGGTAGAAGAGCATTCAGAGAACAGAGGAGGACCATACCAGATCTGAGGTTGACCCCTAGCTCATCGTGAGGTTCTTTAATAAGTAGGAAGTGAGTGTTGCCTAATCAAAGGCATCCTGGAAATCGGGCTAGTTGTAAGTGTAATAGGCCTATCATCTAGGAAGGAGCCAATAATTGTTAAGGATTTTGAGGACAATAAAGCATTTTGAGAAAAAAAAATCACAAAGTAAAAAAGTAAGATGTGTTGATAAATGGAAAAGAGTGAGGAATGTTAGAAACTCAGAATGTTTGGAATGGTTTGGTTTTGTTTGTGTTGGTTTTCGGTTTTTTGTTAAACTTTATTTTGGGGTAAGCGGAGTCAAATTACAGAGAAAGTGTGTGTGTGTGTGTGTGTGTGTGTGTGTGTGTGTGTGTGTGTGTGTGTGTGGTGTTTTAAATAGATGACTTCTCAACACAGAAAATTTGGTTTTCTCTGTGTAGCTTTGGCTGTCCTGGAACTCACTCTGTAAACCAGGCTGGCCTTGAACTCACAGAGATCTGCCTGTCTCTGCCTCCCGAGTGCTGGAATTACATGTATTCACCACCACTGCCCAATGAGACTTTTTAAAATTGAATATTGTAGAGCTAGATTTTTCTAAAAATATTTACTTTCTAATTCTGTGCATATGTGTATTAGGGTACAAGTGATGGACACAGGACACCATAAGTATTAGATTGCCTGGATCTGTGAGTCTCCTACATGGGTGCTGTGAATCGAACTCAGGTCCTTTGAAAGAGCTCTCTCCAGCCCCCAAGCCAGACTTTTATTGGGAAGCGATTTCAGTGTCTTAGTCCATGAGGGACCACAGGTGTTCATAGGATTGTTAATGTATCTGGATAAGCTTTGAAAGCACAAAACAATTACAGGGAGATTGCCTATGTGTTTGTTTTAGTTATGATGTCACAGATGGCTGACCTCTTTGGATTTATAGACAGCCATTTTAGGTTTTAGTTCTTACTGCAACCATAAAACTAAAACTTTAAAATACATTATAGGGCTCATAAAACTGTATTTATGAGAGGAACTAAATATGACCTTGTTTTGCCCAAACCTGTCACTGTAAATAATAGTACTTCATTTGCTAGAGAAACTTCCTTTGTCTTTTATCATTTGACTTTAAAGTTTCTGCTGTTACTAATAGTCCACAGGAATTGAAATAATTTCAGTGTCTGTGGCTTCAGAAATCAACTGGTAGTATTCATATTTGTGGTCATCATACATAACAAAAATATATTCATGGCACATGTTTTTAGAATTACCAGGATGTACCAGCTTTTAAGGGATTGGAGTCAAATATTTCCTCAGATTGACAAACTGCCCTAAATTATAATTTTATTTATTTTTGTTTTTCGAGACAGGGTTCCTATGTAGCTTTGGAGGCTGTCCTGGAACTCGCTCAGTAGACCAGGCTGGCCTTGAACTAGAAGAAATCTGCCTTTCTCTGCCTCCCAGGTGCTGGGATTAAAGGTGTGCGCCACCACTGCCCACCCTAAATTATGATTTTCTCCACAGCCTTCGTCTGTTTTAGTGGTGGTGTCTTGATGGCTTAGGCATTTAAAGACCAAGTTTACAATTTTAAAGATTGTTTCTGTTTATAAATTTATTCTCTAATATTTTACACTGTTCTATTTTCTTAGGTATATGCTTAAATTTCTTCTGAAACCGACACCCAAGTTTTCCTAGTAAGCCCTCCCCTTTAACATCAACAGTGATGAAATAAGTTCTTTTATATATGTGGTGAAGTACTTCATAAGTGCAGTGTGTACCTTATGCATTATACTACTCCTCAGAGTTCTAGCATTTTAACCGTTTGTGTTCCCCATGGTTCTGGGCTTAGCTCACCGATGAGTATTTGAGGTGGTTACAGTTTGTGCCTTTGTATTCCTTAATTCAGGAGTCTAGAGACTGATTGTCAGAAATATAGTTTGGTATCTAGGTTTGATACTAAAGCTAATGATTTGTTCAAGGAAAATGAGTGTTGGGAGAAAAGCAACAGAATTCAACCTAAATAAATTGCAAACGATTAATTTCATATAAAATACAGTTGACTTAAATAGGTCTGTCTCTGTATATAGTTTTGTGAAGTTTTATTTTTGTCTCTGTGTCTGTATTTGTGTGTACGGGTATCTGTGGAGACCGGAAGAGGGATCAGACCCCTTGGAGTTGGAGTTGTTGGATGTGGGATACAGATGTGGGCACTGGGAGCTGGAGTCTGGCTCTCCCGAGCCTAAGTCATGCCCTGACCCCTGAGCACCACTCCTGCCCATCCCTGTTGTAGCGTCTTCGGCTGAACTAAGGGACAGGTCGTTTCCTTAACATTATTTATACTCTTCAGTCATTGTCCATTTCTGCTGCCACAAGGCGAAGATGTGGAAAAAGTTTTGGATGAATGGAAGGAATATAAAATGGGAGTGCCAACCTATGGTGCAATCATTCTTGATGAGACGCTTGAGAATGTGAGTGCTGTATCTAAGAGTTTTAGTGCGGTGCTGACCAACTATTCATTTCTAACCTGTTGAGTATGGAATGTTCTCAATTGAGGCTTTAAAATATCCTTAGATTCTTAATGTTAAAGAACTCAGTTTTGGATGTTTTACCTGCATTCTGTTGTATTTGTTATGGCTTAACATAAAGAATTCTGAGTGCATTGTTGAGACAATGTGTCCTAAATAGAGTGTTTTTTCACCCTATATTTATATTCTTGGAAGACCTTTAGGTCAAATGCTATACACAGTCTACTGGTAAATAACTACCTGAAGTGCAGAGAAAAAAAAAAGTGCCTTTGATTTGGGACTGGAGCATGGGAAAGGAAACTAGGTTTCTTTGTGGATTTTGTTTGTGTGTTTGCTTTTGAATTTCTGTTTGTTTGTAGGTACTGCTGGTTCAGGGGTACCTGGCAAAATCAGGCTGGGGGTTTCCAAAAGGAAAAGTAAACAAAGAGGAAGCACCCCATGACTGTGCTGCCAGAGAGGTGAGTGCCTGCGTTTGGTAAGCGTGGCTGTTAGCTTGGGGTGTCCAAGTCTATATAGATGTGCTTTTTTGGACTCTGGAGAATGTTCAGTCTTTTTCTGAAACTTGAATGCATCCATGGTTTAGCTAGAGGCTTTGCAACCCTTTGGGCTGAAGAGATGGGTAGGAGCACTGGCTGCCCTTTCAGAGGACCTGGGTTCGAGCACCTTCATGCTGCCTCACAGCCATCCTTAACTCTGGTCCCAAGGGATCTAGTGCCCCCTGCTGGCATTAGATAAACAGGCAGGACACTCCTACATGTGAAAATAATAAGATGCTGCCTGCTCCCCCCACTTTTTTTAGCTGTTGCTACCTTCCATTTGTTCTGTCTACTTTTAAAGCATATCTCTGACTCCCTTCTTTACAGTGGTGTCTTTTCCACTTTCTGCTTGAAAATTAGATTTTTTGACAAAACATTTCAACTTCTAACTATATTCTTTTTTCTTTTTCATAATCCAGAAAAATTTAGAGTCTGGGTTTTCTAAGACATTTACGTGTTTCTCCTCAAAAACTCATCCTAGCTTTATACCTGAGCTAAAAGATACAATTTAAATCCTACTGCCCAGCCAGCTTAGCCCCAGCTCAGCCTTTTAAAAGATTTATTCCTTGTCCTCTGAATTTGATTGTTTCCAAAATTTGACTAAACTTATGCCTACTCAAACATCCCCTTTCTCCCTGCCACTTCAGACCGGGCTCCAGCCAAGTGAATGTCATTGCAGGCTCTCTTCCTGGCTTATAGGTGTCCCATTTCCGGCTCTATTCACGTGGGTTTTCCTGGATGTGTTTGGGTGTTTATCCAGAGAGCTATTGGGGTTCTTTCTTAACCGAGGTTGGGATTATGCTTTTGGTTTCAACCTAGGATTTTTTTGGGTGGGAGTGGTCTTTTTGTGACAGGATGTCTCTGTGTAAACCTAGCTATCCTGGAACTCACTCCGTAGACCGGACTGGATTCAACTGCCTCTGCCTGTTGAGTGCTGATCAAAGGTGTGCACCACCACTACCCAGCCATCAACCTAGGATTTTTTTTTTTTTTTTTTTTTTTTTGGTTTTACGAGACAGGGTTTCTCTGTATTGTTTTGGAGGCTATCGGGTCCAGCCTGGCCTCGAACTCACAGAGATCCGCCTGCCTCTGCCTCCCGAGTGCTGGGATTAAAGGCGTGTGCCACCACCGCCCGACCAACCTAGGAATATTTAAGGTTGAATTTCTGCAGTTGCCTTATTGAGTGTATTTGGACTAAGAGTGTTAGAATTGCAGTTGGTTCTTCTGCCACTTGGTGGTACTACGGTGTAACAGAAGCAAGATTGTCTGAAAGCCAACTTCCTCTTAAGTCTTGACTGATCGCCAGATGGTTAGCTGTCCTTTGCCAATAGTTTGTCCCTGTTTGATCTGTTTAATTTTTACTTGTATTAGCATAAGGAGGGGCTTTGTCCCAATTTCCTAGCTACAAATTAGATTTAAGCTATTGTCTTTGTCTATTTTGTTTCGACACAGGGGCTCAATTTTATGTAACTGGCTGCCCTTGAATTCATATCCTTCTGCCTTACCCTCAAGTGGTTAAAATCAAATATTTTATCCCCATTTATCTCTAGGTCTTCGAGGAAACTGGTTTTGATATCAAAGACTATATTTGTAAGGATGATTATATCGAACTTCGAATCAATGACCAGCTCGCTCGTTTGTACATCATCCCAGGAGTTCCAAAAGATACCAAATTTAACCCCAAAACTAGAAGAGAAATTAGGGTATGTAAGAATTAAGAAAATTTGGGGGTTGTTGAACAGAACTCCAATGGAATGAACTGGGGAGTTCATTTTAGCCACTGCTTGATAGTAATCAACTAAATGCAATTGTTGTGTTTCAGAACATTGAGTGGTTCTCCATTGAGAAGTTGCCGTGTCATAGAAATGATATGACTCCCAAGTCCAAGCTTGGCTTGGCACCTAATAAGTTTTTTATGGCCATTCCCTTTATCAGGTATGTTCATTTCTTAAACTGTAAAACTGGCCTTGATGCTGCTGTCTAAGGTTTGGGCTTTTTGTTCTGTTTGTTTGTTTTTTAAATGTATTGTTAATGTTTCCATAGACCCCTAAGGGACTGGCTGTCTCGAAGATTTGGAGATTCCTCGGACAGTGACAACGGCTTTTCCTCAGCTGGTAGCACACCAGCCAAGCCCACTGTGGAAAAATTGAGGTAAAGAGATTGTGGCTTTCTGGGGTTCTCTGTTCAGTGCCATTTGCTTCTTGAGTCAGAGAGGCTTGGGAGCCGGTAGAAGCTCTGTTGTGTCCCTGGTTTTGGGCCGTAAGATAGTTTTTTAAAGTTTTTGCTAAGATGAGAAGGGTTAATTGGAGGAAAGGCGCTTCAGGTGCATTTTAAAATAGTACACTCGAGGATACCAAAGTCTTCGAACACTAGAAAAAGGAAAAGAATGTATGTTGAATAGCTGATACTCTGCCTTTGTGACAATTTAGTTCTTGGAGATGATTGAATGGAGGTATATTGAAGTTTCTGTTGCATAGGAGGTGGGAGGTGCTGATGAATAATTTGTTAAAGTCAGTGACAGCTGCAACTGTTTTGACTTCTGGTTTTTTCGAGACAGGGTTTCTCTGTGTTGCTTTGGAGGCTGTCCTGGAACTCGCTCTGTAGACCAGGCTGGCCTCGAACTCACAGGGATCCGCCTGCCTCTGCGTCCTGGCCTGTTTTGTCTTTTTACAAAGTCGTGTATGCAATGACCGTGTGTGTTCCTGTGGGTGTGTGTCCACGTGTGCACAGGAGGGGGTCTGAGCTCAGCCTCCCGCGTCAGTTGAGCCTGTGCTTTGACTCATGGTCTCTCACTGGCAGGAACATGCCTGTCTTGCCTCCCCAGCGGTGGGATCACAAACACACATCACCACACTTGGCTTTTGCTCATGAGTTCCGGGATCTAACTGGGGTTCTCAAGTTTCTGAGCAAGCACTTTACTGTGCTCGCCGCGTTATGAAGAGGGACCGTGGTGCATGGCATAACTGTCCATGACATTTTCTGCTTTGGAACCTGGCACAGATTTGGAAAGTAACTTTATTATATATTGCATATATAATTTTAGTAAGTTTATTTATTCTGAGCATGTGTGGGTGTGTGCAGAGGTTAGCTGGCAGATGGTTCTCTCCTGCCATGCTGGGTCCCTGGAATCAAACTCAGTCGTAATCCGGCTTGGCTGCAAGCACTTTGACCATGTTTTCTCATTGTGCTTAGGGTATGTTTTCCTACGGAGCTGTAACTTATTTGCCAGAATTGTGGTTTTGTTTTGTTTTGTTTATTGTTTTGCATTTTTTTCTAATTCGGTGATTGTTTTTACCTAAGATTTCAATCTTAAAACAGTAAGAATAGGCCACATTTATGGTTAAAAATTTTAAATAAGAACAGTTCCATTTGTGTTGGTTTTATAAGGAAAAGACATTGGATTAAATGCCTTAGGAAAATTTGTAGATTTTATTACCAAGGCACCACTAATAAAAATAAGTGAACAGCATGACAGAAGTTAGGAAGTAAAGAATATGTATAAAAACAGATATTACCAAAAAGTCATAAATGGTGACAGTGCACCATTGGGAAAGTCACCACCAGCCTCTGGTATGGTCACTCTTACTTTTAGTCCTTGGATTTCTGTTCTTGTTAATAGGAGAGGTGATTGTGCTAACTTTAGGTACTTTTCACATTTCCTTTAGAGGCAGTATTCACTTCAGTCATACAGTTGATATGTTGGAGGAAATGCCTTTTTGACTTTTAAAAAGAATTACAGAATGTATACTGATTGGGTTTTTAAAACACTTTCAGAAAGGGTTTCACTCTGTAGCTCAGACTGGCTTCAATCCTGGAGACTACTTCTGCTTCAGCCTCTTAGTGTCTTAATTATAGCCTGGAGCCACCAGATCCAGCTTTGTAAAGCTTAAATGGAAGAAGGAAGGATGCTGAAAGGAATCTGCTATCTTAAAATGTGGGTCTTGAGGGCAGTGTTTATGTGCAGGTATGGGATGCTGTAGGTGTTATGATAAAGCTTGTGGGGGACCTTGGCGAAATCCATGGCAGGTGAGGTTGACCAAGGTGGGGGACAAACACCAGGCAGGCAAGCTTAAGTGAGGAGTTTTATTAGAAAGAGGAGGGAGGAGGAAGGAAAGAGAAAAGAGACAGAGAGGACGGAAGAGGGAAGAAGGAAAAGTCCTGTCTGCCCCAGGGGAACCTCGGGGAAGAGAATGGGAAGAGAAGAGCAGAGCAGACAAAGAGGAGCAGGAAAGAGAGCTGGAAAATAGAGTGTAAGTGGGCAGGGGTCTTTCTTTTAAAGGGTTCTTCTGTACTGTGTTCAGACTAGTACTCATGGAACCCTGGGCTGACCAGAGTGTACTGCCTGAGTGCATTCTGCCAGGTGACGGGCAAGCCAGCATCATGCCCGAATCTTTACAGTAGGGTGGATTTCTTTCAGGTAGCATTTATGTACAGGTATGGGATGTGCAGCAAGTTTTCAAAATGAAATAATTGTTCTTGGGGGCAGGGAACAGGCAGGCAGTCGAGACCTTTAGAGGTCGGAAGACAACCTTTGGAGTCAGTTCTATCCTTCCACCCATGGGTTCCAAACCTGGAGCTCGGACCACTGGGCCTGCACAGCGCGTGCCAAGCCAGCCCCCAGTCCCCAGAACAAGCATTCTAACAGAAAACAGTCCAAACGGGGGCTGAAGAGATGGCTCAGAGGTTGGGAGCACTGACTGCTCTTCCAGGGGTCCTGAGTTCAAGTCCCAGCAACCACGTGGTGGCTCACAACCATCTACAACTCAATCTGGTGCCCTCTTCTGGCATGTAGGCAGAACACTGTATAGTAATAAATAAATAAATCTTTAAAAAAGAAAAAGTCCAAACGTAAATTGCTTTGATGTATACATGCTGGGGGTGGTAGGAAAACACTGACAGTCTTTGCGTTCAACAACTAAGCTGTTTTCTTTCTGTGAAAGTCAAAGCTATTGTATATATTGTAATCCTACAACATTTATTCTCACTTCTAAGCAGAGGTCTTTCACCCAGTGTTGTTGGTATTCTGGCTCGATGGCACGTTGCATGTGTTCCATGTTCAGAACCCAGTCTGTGTAGAAGTTGGGTGATGAACAGGCCACAGAGATCTCAGATTCAGCACGCATAAGGCTTTGAACTAACTTCTGGTTCTTGCACACTCAGAAATCTTTACCATTGCAGGATTTTGCATCTCTTGTTGGTAAAGAGCTGTGCTCTAGAAAGTAACCTCTTTTTCTCAGATCTTGTCTAACACTGGCAGGATCTATAGCCAACCTATCTGATCAGATTGATCTACTGAGACATCTAGAAACCATGTGTCATCTAGCCTATTAAAAAGAAAATCCACATACATTTCTTTGCTTCAACTAAATATACAAAGAACTGTCTTTACTTTTAAAGACTATAATTACTTATAGGGCAGGGATGTTATAAATAATTCAGAAAAGCCTGGAGTAAAAAATGATAGGTTGGTAACGTAAGAAATATTTATTAGCACCAGTCAGTTATCTACACACCTGGAGAAAATATGGCTGGCAAAGCTGATCAGAGTTTCTGCTTGTGCTGGGTGTGCTAGTCCGCGCCTTTAATGCCAGCACTCATAAGGCAGAGGCAGGCGGATCTCTGAGTTGCAACGTCTACAGAGCAAGCTCTAAGATAGCCAGGGCTGCATAGAGATACTCTGTCTTGAAGTGTTTTTATTTTGTTTTTATAACTTAAGGAATTAGTGGGGAAAACAAAATATATACTTGATAGGTTAAATTGTCAAGGCTTTCAAAGAACTGCAAGTGAAAAATCTCACCTTACTTTTTAAACCTTGGTGTAGTCGAACAAAATTCCGCCACAGTCAGCAGCTGTTTCCTGAAGGTTCTCCTAGTGACCAGTGGGTAAAACACAGGCAGTCGCTGCAGCAGAAGCCTCACAGTAACCATACGGAAGTGTCTTCGGACCCTTTTAAAGCCAAGGTGAGTGAGTCACATTGAAATTCCTGCAGATGCTGTGATTCTTTGACTTCAAAATCATGTTCAGCTGAGGAATTGCATGCAGTATAGAGCTCTGGATTGTTGAGCAATTGCCCATGGGCCCAGCTTGAGACTTGAACAGACCTGAGACTTGTTATCCTCCATAGCCTTGGAATAAATCCAATGTAGGAAATAATGGGATGTGCCACTTGAGCCTTTTTATGGATGTCATCAGTAAAAGGCTTAAAAGAAGATGATTTCTGAGTTAAGATTAATAGGATCTATTGTTTACAGAAAAAAGTAACAGTGTATTATATCACTTTCACTGTCATATATCGTATGTGATTATACCACAGTTTATCTGTTATGCAGTGAATGAACATTTTATTGATTTCCAGATTGTTGCCTCAAGAACAATAACCACCCCAAAGTTCTGTAAAGCCCAATCCCATTCTAAAACACTTGGCCAGTCACTTCTCTGAAGAAGTTCGGGTGGCCATTCAGTACAGAAAAGACTCAGCAGTGTTTGTCATTGGGGAAATAGAGATCAGTTATGCCTCAGGACGGCTGTGGTGATAACCCAGCAGAACAGAGAATCACCAGTGTTGAGAGGGTGCAGAGAACTAGGATCCTTCTTGAGTGTGTAAAGAGACAGCTGCTATGGTATGGCTTGCTGATTTCCCACCAGTTAAATGTGCTGCTACACACCACTGCTGCATACGTAAACAAATGAACTGAAAATGGCTGTTAACAGCCGGGCGGTGGTGGCACACGCCTTTAATCCCAGCACTCAGGAGGCAGAGGCAGGCGGATCTCTGTGAGTTCGGGGCTGGGCTGGACCGACAGCCTCCAAAACAATACAGAGAAACCCTGTCTCGTAAAAAACAAACCAAAAAAAAATGGCTGTAACAGATGTCATACAATCATAGCATCACTCATTCACAACACACAGATGGATGAATAAAGAGGGTATGTTCATGCACTGGACTATTTTCAGCTTTTAATGAAGAGATTCTGAGTCTTCTACAATATAGATGATCCCTGAAGACAGTGACTAAGTGAAATGAAGCAGGACAAAGGGACAAAAATTGAGTGGTTCTATGATAGGTGTCTATCATAGGCACATCACGGGCATATAATGTGTGCTAAGTAGGGATTATGGCTGGAAGTGGCAAAGACTTCAGAGTAGTTAGTTTTACTACGTGGTGGTGGCTCAAGCTCTTAATCCCAGCACTTGGGAGGCAGAGGCAGGAACATGTCTGAGTTCGAGGCCAGCCTGATCTACAAAGAGAGTTCCAAAATATTAGAACTGTTACACAAAGAAATCCTGTCTGAAAATCAGAGAGAGGGCAGGTGGGGGTTTGGGGGACAGTTCCCTTTTGATGGGAACAGAGTTTCTGTTTTGAAGAATTAAAGTGTTTGGCAAGTGGGCTGGGTGTGGTAGCACAGGCCCCCCTCATGCAAATAAGGTCTTAGTTCTCCAGAATTCAACAGGAGAAGAGCAGCAGCGGGTAAAATGAGTATTGCTGGTGTTGACAGACATCCCGTCTACTAGCACTGAGGTACGTATCCTAAAGAGTGTCACAGGAAAGGAAATACTGCCAGGAGAGATAGAATCTAAGTTGAAAGCATGGTGGCATGAGATCCACTGTCTATTTCAGTTTGGTTACTGTTGGCCAGTTATTTCAGCAGCTACCTAGAGTAGGTGGAATGAAGGTAAACATTTTTATAAGTAATAGTTACAATATTTATTAATGGTTCTCAAATAGCTGTTTTTCAAGATTTGAAGTAGAAATTGATATTTTAAAAGATTGTGTCTAAGCTGCATGGGAGTGAACTAGGCCCTCTGAATGTGGGTGACAGTTTGTGTCTTGGTCTGTTTGTGGGGCCCCTGGTATGTAAAATGAATAAAAAATTTAAAAGAAAACAAGAAAAGACTGTATCTGAACTTAAGACTACAGGCCCAAGTTTTTAAAACACTAATCTTCATTGTTGTGTGAAAGCTTATTCTCTCAGTGGTACTTACTTGTTTATTATAATTTTGTGATAGCTAGTGGTGCCTACTGCTTAATTTATACTGTTAAGAGCTGTCGGGGTCAGCAAGGTGACTTAGTTTCTAAGCACTCCCTGTGGCGACTCTACAATCTGGGTGTGATCCTAGAACCCATGTGCAGGTGAAAGGAGAGAATGGGTCTGCAAAGACGTTCTCTGACCGTCTGCCACACTGGCTGGCGACCCCGTGCACTGCATGGGAAAGCTTAAGAGAGGAAAGCAGGCTGGCCCTGTGCCGTGGCCTGCCTTCCCAGCAGTCTCCCGGATGGATTGTAGAGCTTCTTCTGCCTGCCTCCGCTCCCATTCCTTTACCTTCAGGCTAGAGTTGGACGCTGGGGCCTTATGTTGTGTACGAGCTCTGCCCCTGAGCTGTACCCTATCATATTTGTGCATCAGAAATAGTTTATAAGCAGACGTGATCAAGCAAGAGGTGTGGAAAGGGCCTGGGGAGTGATGTATTTGCTGTTCCCTGTTGCAGAGGAGACGTCCCTTTGCAAAGTAATCCTCTAAGAAAAGAAATTAATACAGCAATGTACACATGTTTAGATGGTGCTTTGTGAACTCTAGTCAACTGAGGTAAACATTCAGAGGATATATTTGTATTGTTGTACTGTAGACTTACATGTTCTTTTTACTGGAAAAACAGAATCAAAATATGAGAGGGAATGGCAGAAAACAGTATCAAGATTCGCCTAATCAAAAGAAGAGAACAAATGGAGTTCACAGTCAAGCAGCCAGGCAGCAGAACCCCTTGATGGTAAGAGCTCTGGGCTTACCTGCTTAGGAGACAGCGCCCTTTAAGAATGGAGCAGTGTTGTCTAGATGCGGTAATGCTGGTTTAGTTCCTATCTTATTTGATTAATTTTAATGATAGGATTTTCATAAAATTCTTCATTGCCTTTATGAACTAAACCCTAAAACTCCCTTTGGCAATTCTTAACTACAGACCTGGAATCCTTAATAGGGTACACTTTTGCTTTTTGCCTTGTGTGGTTTCTTACATTTGTTTTAAAGCCTTGAAAATACTCTACAATAAAAACAAGCAGTTCTTTTTTTCTGAAAACCTGGAGGAATGGCTGTATGGTTAAGGACATCTGCTATTCTTCAGAGGCTACAAGTCAGTTTCCCTGACCCAGATTTGATCTCTAGCTCCCAGAGATCTGATACTGTTTCCTGGCTTCCCTGAGTGTACACACCACACACACACACACACACACACACACACACACACACACACACACACACACACACACACCTCTAAGGGATGTTAATTAAATTTGTATATTTTAGTGGATTCATAAGAATATAAATATTTATGGCGTGCCAGTTGTTTCGATATACTTTGTATAATGCTTATGGTGAAAACATTATGCTGGTAGGGTACTTAGGAGGCTGAGGTCCCAGGAACTCAAGCTTAAGACAGGCCTGGGCTACATAATGACTTGACTTTGAGGCCAACCTGGGGCAGAGGGAAATAATAATTGACACTCTTTTCTTCTAGCGTTTTTGAAATACAGTATGCATTGTTGTTTTCCATAGCTGTGCTACAGTGTAATAGTACATGGCGCCTTCTCCGATCTCCCTGTCACTTGTCATTGAGCAGCCTCTTCCCGTTGTCCTTCTGTCTTCCCTACCCCAGCTTTCTAACCCATTCTACTCAGTTCCTTTACGGAGAGCAGCTAGTGTGTGAGGCCCGTTGTTAGAGTGCAGTTAAAAGTTTAGAACAAAGTTTTTCTACAAGAGAGTTGAGTATCTTTACTCATCTTTCCCATTAATACGTTGGATTTTCTATTCTTTTTTTTTTTTTTTTTTTTTTTTGCTGTGTCTTTAAGAATGTGAGCTATGCTGGCCAGTGGTGGCATATGCCTTTAATCTCAGCTGTCGTGCGGCAGAGATAGGTGGATCTCTGAGTTCCAGGACAGCCAGGGATACACAGAAACCCTATCTTTAAAAAGTCAAATTAAAAAAAAAGGCAACAAAAACGAGTTCTATTCATAACTTCAAACTTAAGGGGGGTAGAGCCCTTAATTCGGGTGTCTTAGTTAGCGGTAGATGTGATAAACACCATGGCCACATTAACAGTTCATCAGAAGCAAGGACATTCTGGAACCTGGTGGCAGAGGCTGATGCAGGGCCGTGGAGAAGGGCTGTATACTTGCTGCTCCCCATGGCTTACTCAGCCTGCTTTGCTATAGAACCCAGGACCACCAGCCCAGGGATGACACTGCCCACTGGGCTCTCCCCCATTGATCACTCACTAAGAAAATGCCCTGCGGACTTGCCTACAGATGGATCTTATGGAGATATTTTCTTAATTGAGGTTCTCTCCTTTTCGATGCCTTTAGTTTGTGTCAAGTTGACATAAAACTATCCACACTTCCTTCTAGGATTACCTTAGTTTACTTAGATATACTAATTGCAATCGTCAGACTTCCTACCTTTTTATTTTAGTTTATTCCAATGAAAGTGTTATCAGAAACAAGACAATTACAATGGATAATCAAGAGGCTTCTAATGCAATTGAACATATTCTCACAAAGGTTAGAAAAATGCTTCCTTAATGATAATGCCATACAGATACTCTGTCTTACCAAGTTACTGTGTAAATTTAACTCATCAAAAGGTTTTGTTTGGGACTGGAGAGATGGCTCAGCCTTTAAAGGCTAGGCTCACAACCAAAAAGGTTTTGTTTGTTATGAAGAAATCCGATGTGTCAGATTTGTTTTGAAAAATTTGAGTAGATTTTTTTTAACACTTCAGTCCCCTAGTATTGAGCCTTTTTTGTCCTCTTTTGTACATAATGCTGTAGAAATGTTAGAGAAAGGACTGAGTGCAGCTAACTGAGGCACAGGGTACAGGTGGTTGTTTTCAGTTGTAATCACAGGTGTGAGGTGTGGTGGTGTAGTGCACACAGATACTCCCTTGTGAGAGTGAGAACCCAGCGTCACGCTCTACAGCTTCTTGTGACCGCTCGTAACCAAGTGTGCAAGGTTCATTAGTTATATGGTCCAGTTAATCCTGGTGAGTTTTTAAAAACAAAGTTTAAAAACACGTTTAGCCGGGCGTTGGTGGTACACGCAGCACTCAGGAGGCAGAGGCAGGCGGATCTCTGTGAGTTGGAGGCCAGCCTGGTCTACAGAGGGAGTTCCAGGACAGCCTCCAAAACAATACAGAGAAACCCTGTCTCGAAAAACCAAAAAAAAAAAAAAAAAAAAAAAAAACACTTTTAAATTTCTAAAGGGAAAAAAGATAAATACAAAGTAGAATGGCCTATAAGAAAACCGGAAATGACTGAACTTGTGCAAAGTGTCAGCCATGCAAATCAGAGCCCAGGAGTCATGAGTTTTGAGACCAGCCTGGGCAAAATAACTAAGGCACTGTCTCATAAATCAAACAACAGTAGCTAAAATGTGTTACTGCCATTACCTACCTGACAAGCATAGGTGAAAAATTTGAATGCTGAATTGTGTGTTAATGAGTATATTGACAAAGCATAAGGTTTGCTACTTGGTTTAATCTTTTACAGAGGTTGTTTGCCGATATCAGAAATTTGAAAAATTGCTTGGTTTTGTAAATATAAAAATCCTCCCTTTACTCTTAGTTATTAAAACAGAAGAAAGATGTAAATATCCAAGGAATTGATACTAGCTAGATGCAGCATTGTGGGTGTTTTGTTTGTTTGTTTTTGCTTTTTCAAGACAGGGTTTCTCTTTGTAGCCCTGATATCCTGGAACTTCTTTGTAGAACAGGCTGGCCTCCAACTCACAGATCTCTGCATGCCTCTGCCTCCCAGGTGCTGGGATTAAAGGTGTGTGCACCACTACTGCTTGGCAACCTTGTGCGTCTTTACAATAGATTGCCTTAACTCGGCAGAAACGACAGTTGAGGTCTGTGCTTGTTGGGAAGGAGTGTTGCTTATATTCAGGTACATTTAAAAGATTAGAACTCTGGGGATAGAGTTCATTGGCAGAGCTATTTGTGCCTAGGATATGGCAGGCCCTGGGTTTGGGTGCTAGCACTGGGAGGGGCTGTGGGACAGTACTCTGCAAAGGTAATGGAGTTGGTGTGTGTTCTCCAAACTGTTTACAAGTTGGGCTTTAAGGAAACCCACTGGGAATGATAATTGGATCCCTGATTTGACTTTCTTCTTGAGATACTTGATCATGTCTCTCTTGAGTTTTAGTAAGTAAAAATAACAGGAGCCTTTGCTGTATATGTGTTTTCTAATAGAAATGTGAAAAGAAGCTGCATCCACGAAAACTTCAGGACAACTTTGAGACAGGCAAGCCATTTTATTTATCTGTTTTTAATTTGTCTTGTGGGACTGGGTTTGATTTTAGCAGCTGTGATCAGTGGGCTTTGTGATGATGACAGTTGCACAGAAAGAGGTGCCTGTGTGTTAGAGCTTTCCTGGGTGAGATTCTCTAATAGGTGAATCACTAATAGGTGATCCAGCTGTCTGTTGAACATACTACTGTTCCTTCTGTAAATGCTCAGGCCCCAGCTCTCCATGAATGTGTGTTGTGAACACTGACTTGTGGGCTGACGGCAAATGTTACGATACTGAGGGCGCCTCACTCTCTTTCTGCTTTTGTTGTAGTGGGATCAGCTTTTTAAATCGTGCCATTTCTCCTCCTCTGTTGTGGAATGTAGTGTGTCTGGCTTGTAGAGACACTGTGACCAAAGCACCTCTCTTACAAAGAAAGCACTTAGCTGGGAGCTTGCTTACATGGCAGCTGGCAGGCAGACAGGGTGCTGGGGAAGTAGCTGGGAGCTTTACACTCTGATCCACAGACAGCAGCCAGTGAAAGCCATTGCGCCTCGAGTGGACCTTTGAAACCTCAAAACCCGCCCCAGCAACTCACTTCCTCCCACAAGGCCCATCTCCTAAGCCTTCCAAACAGTTCTCTATCTGGGAACCAAGCATGCAGATCTATGAAGTTATTCTAGTGCTACTGACATTTGATTGATAAATGTCATTTAAAAGTATAGTGCACTGTTTTTCTTAGGTGCTAATTTGAAGAGTAAGAAGTTTCCTTGTGCCAGATCAAAATCGAGCGCTGGTTGGTGGTGGTGTGTGCTCTTAAGTCCAGCACTTGTGAGGCAGAGGCAGGTGGATCTTGCTTAGTTAGAGGCCAGCCTGGTCTACAGAGCAAGCCAGGGCTACACAGAGAAACCCTGTCTCAAAGAAACCAAAAAAAGAAAAGGAAATGAAGATCATTGTTTTCTTTCTTTTTAAAACATTTAAAGAGACTCATTGATGACAGTCCTGAGATGGCTAAGCGACTTGCCTCCATCTGTGCTGCCAGGAATGGAGTTCAGAGTCACTACTGCAGATGCCAGAGTCCACTTCCAATCAGTAAAAAATGAAGACAAAACCTGTCTTAAAAGAGATGTTCTGGGCCTGAGAAGATAGTTCAGGGGGTAGGAGGACCCCCAAGTTATAATTCATAAAACCCAAGTGTAGCCAGGCATGGTAGTGCAAATGTATAATCCCAGTGCGCCTGTGGCAAGATGGGAAGCAAGGACTAGATTCCTGAAAGTCCAGTCAGTTAGCCTGGCAGAGGCCGTTCAAAAGCAAACAAGAGGCCCCATCTCAAGGTGGAAGGCATGGACTGATAGCGGAGGTGTCATCTGACTTCGTGTGTGCCATAACACGCTGTGCTCACGCGCTGATGTGGGTGTGCACACACTAGATCTAGTAAAAGGTGAACAAAGGCGCTTTAGCCTCAGTGTGGGAAGTTAGCCTTTGTCTTTTAAACAGGGTTCTTGCTGGCATATAATTGATGCATTTGTTTGTCTCTCTTGACTTGGTACGTATCCAAAAGAAAGGCATTGCTAAGACTGACTGTCAGAGAGCATTTAGGTTTTCTGTTTTTGATCTGTTGAGGACTTGGTAATTTCAACTGTATTCTTCTCTACTTATAAGCTTTACAGTTTTTTTCCCATTGTAATTGTAATTTTCATGGTACTTTCATGTTGACCTCTTTCAAAAAGCTCTGCTTACTCTGACACAAAATTCAAATACAAGAACTAAAAATATGCCCAATTTGAAAGCAAGGAGATATCAAGGGTCATAAAGCATATAGGGTGAGAATCTGAATTAATAGAAATAAAAAGAAATAGGAAGTAATAAATAAGAGATTCCACTGAACACTGACTTTAGGATTGAATCAGATTAGACAAAGATGTCTGCGTTTCTCTCTGGGTAAGTGGGGGGTAATGTTTGGTAAGTTTTCCGAGTTACTGACTACTAATCTTGTTTCCTGAGCAGATGCTGCATCTGACTTGCCTTGTTCTGGTGAAGACCCATCGGTAGAACATGTTGAGGGACACTCTGTGGCATGTAATGGACATTGCAAGTTCCCGTTTTCATCCAGAACCTTCCTGAGTTTCAAGTTTGACCAAAATGCTATAATGAAAACCTTGGACCTTTGATCCGCAGCAAGTGTATTGCAGAAGTCCCATGATCAGAGACCTGTTACATTGAATGTGTCTCCTCAAGCCTTACCTTTCTCAGGTATCTGGAAGAAATGCAGGGAGGCAGTCTCTAAAGAGATTTTCTGTACAGAAGAGAAACTAGAAAGAAACAGGAGTTTGCACTGTAAATGCATTTAGAACTTTTTATATGGATTTACCGTTTCAGTGTTCGGAACCAACCACGTTTTAGTCGCCTCTGTTTTTTTGTCTTTTCCTTTTTTACGGGCATTTATTTTGTATTCTCATAGTAGCCATGTTAATAGTAGTATTTCATCTCCCCATCTTAGTGACTGCAATGAGTTTTCTGACTGAAAATTTTAAAAGTAACTTAACTCCCCAATTGTGTTCGTGAGCATTTAGAGCTGAAACGTCACATCAGGATTGCAGGCATTTTGCTCATTTCTCTGTTTCTAACCACTGAGAATCTAATCCTGTTTGGAATTTTCTCAGTTTATTTAGAATCAGCATCTTGAAAACAGTCCTCATTTGCACAGTGGACTCTTGAGCACTTCATCAGGACAGAGGCCACAGCCTGCAGGGAGGTTGAGTTGGTGAGGGTTGATACTGTAATTCTGAGCTGTGGTGTATGCTATCAGCAAACCTAGGAGTGCTGGGGCAGAGAGCATGGAATCCAGTCGCTGGCAGTTACCTCGGGTCATGCCTTGACCGTCTGCGTCCAGCTGTTCAGTATTGTGCAATGAGTATGCTCATGGGAAATAATCCATACATTCTCTAGTGTAAGTATGTGTGGAAAACTACATTCTTAGTTTTATATTGCATCTCAGTGTTGATCTGTGGAAGCTGATGTTATATTAGGTTCCAGCTTGCCATAATAGCAGAGTAACATGCTTTTTATTAATATCTTGAAGCCCCTGAGTTATAAAGTGAGAAAAGAAGGGGTTATGCAATTTACCCATAAGTACAGCGTGTTGCTGGGGGACCCTTTAAGTAATGTACTTAGCTCACACCTAAGAATGTATTTTGTATTTTGCTCCTTTGGGGCTCTTAAATCCAAACAAGGATGACAATGCTATTTTACAAGGGCCACCTGTAACTGAGGACAATCACCAGAGCTTTAAGGAGGCAATGGCATTTTGGCTGTATCTGACCTCGCTGAGAATACTTCCTGGGGGTGGGATGGGGTGTTCAAGTGCATGCGTGCCCGTGCATCTATCATTGGGTTTTTAAAAGTTGCTTTTTACAAGTGGTATCCACAAAGTATATCTCTGCTTATAAATATTACTATAGAAATCTTTATTCTTTATATGTAGCCTACTTGATAGGGGTTCTCCTTAGCCCCAAGAGACTTTGAAAGGAAGGGCTATTACTATAAGGAATTCACTTGGTATTACTATGTTGCTTTTGCTTTTAAATGGCTGGTTTTAAAGAAGAAATTCTGTTTATTAATGAAAAGTGTCACTCTCGGTGCTAAGCAGGAGACTTCACAGTGATACAGTGTGTCTAGAATCTTTTATGGAACTACTTTGTGAATCCTTCTGTGACCTGTGCTGTTTAACACAGATTTGATTGTGTTAGGAAGCCTGTGCTGTTCTTCTCAGAAATACGGCTGCTTTGGTTGGGTCTTCTTGAGCCATATTTATAGTTGGTCCCAGCATTCCAGATTTCTGTTAAATGGTTAAGGGAGTGAAAATTTAGTTTGCTCCCCAGATGAGCCGTTTTCACTCGTTCATTCTCATCTGGAAACCATTTAAGTGTGTGTGTGTGTGTGTGTGTGTGTGTGTGTGTGTGTGTGTGTGTGTGTGTGTGTGTGTCTCAATACTAAAGCAACAGCGTCATTACCAGTAGTGTGGCCTCTAAAGTTGTTGACTGTAAGAACCATCAAATGCTGTGCTGCTTCATTGAATGCACTGTGGAACAAAGCAAGGGTATGGTTGGGATGCAATTATAACTGTGGGCTTTTGCTCTCACACAAATCTGAGGTTAAAAGCATGCTGGAAGGAAAATTGAGGTTTGTATGTCTGATGTGACTCAACTATGCAGACAATTTTAAGTTGGTGTACCTTGTTAATATACATGTGCCATACTCACTCTTTCATTCTCCAGGTTATCTGAGAGACCATTGTTAGCACAGGGTGGATTTCTTTTCTGAACTGTGTTAGCATTTCTTCACAGAATCTGGTGATGAAGATGCTGAATATGCAATAATGTACTTCTGTTTAGTGCTGTGTTTTAAGACGCTAGATGGAACAGTAGCTATGTCAGCCTTATTATGTTTTGTGTATTTGTGGAGTGGGACTTTGAAATCACTTTTAAACATCTTTAGGACCCAACCGCATGTGTTCCAAGGTGCAGTGCACTGTGAATCTTTTTAAGTCTAAGTTTGTAGGTGCTTTTATGTGTGATTTCAGTGGTTTGAAGAATGTTAAATAACTTTGTCCTTAAACATGTTACTCCAAGAGACAAAGAATACAGTTTACATACTTTCTGTAAGTTTTTGTTAAGAAATAGTGAATGAATGACTGTAGGGTTTCAAACAGTGATTCTGTCCTGAGACATGAACATTTGGAGGGTGGTAGCTTGGGTGAAATTGGTTAAACATGTTGAAAGATCAAACTAGATTTTTGTACCAGTATAAACAAATAGTTTCCCAGCACTGTCACAGGAGTTGTGGTCACTGCTTGCTGTTTTGACCTTTGAATATCATTATTTTTATATTAAATACTAATTAGTAATTACAGATAATGGAGCTATATAGCAGATTAATATTATGCTGTAAGACTTGGCTGTACTTTTTCTTTGGAGGTTTTAGTAATTTACATGTACTGTCAATAAAAATTGCAAATTTTAGAGAATGGCTATAGGAATCAACTTCCTTTATAGAATACTGTGTTTTCTAAGAATGTTAAGGACTGGTGCCTGTGTACATTTAAAACATTTCATTAGCAAGCCCTCATCAAGCAGTCTGTTTCTTTAGCCTTAGTTAAGCAGTGGGGGTTGGGGGGACTAAAATTGATCATTTGCTGGGCAGCTTCCTTCCTGTGGCCTCTTGACCTTCCCTCTACCTGTGCAGCTCCTTCTTGGAGACTTTAATGACAGCAGTTGTGTCTGTGTTTTCTGAGGCAGTATTTTCTTTGTGTTATTAATCTTGGCTGTGTTCATTAACGTTTCTTCCTCCTGGTCTTGAGTTGGATTATCGTGTGGCCTGAGAGAAGTTCAGATGTGTTGTGACTTGCATTGACCATCAACAAAAGAAACCACTGTTGTATCTAAAGGTATTATCACCTTTCTGTATTGGTGTTACTTCTTACAGCTTGCTAAAGCTGGGCCAGTACGGATCATCCCAGCTGTCTTAACACTTTAGAATACATTTGTATAGTCCTAAAAGTCTAGAAATGGGCTTATAGTAGTCGTTCTCCTCATCTTTCTATATATAGAACTGGTTTATTCCTGAAGCCTGTGTCAGACAGGGCAAATTGAGGTCAGCAATCTGAGGTTTGTCAGAAGTAGATTGCCATTTCCAGCAGTTGCTCGGCCGAGTGCGAGGAAGAAACTACTGAGCATGGCTGGATGCTCCAGGTGAGAAATGTGGCCAGTGCCCAGCTGAGCAGTCTGTCCCTCCCAAGCATTTTCACTCCTCAATGAAATGTTTCTAAGTATGATTGCCAAGAAACCCATTGATTCTAATGTAATTTTTCTCTTTGAGGCCTAGTGCTTCAGTCTTTTCTGTAGTAATTCTGGGGAGCTGCAGGCACTTGGGGTTTGTTTGTTTTTAACTTAAATTTCCTTTTAATGTGTATGGACGTTTTGTGTGTGTGTGTGTGTGTGTGTGTGTGTGTGTGTGTGTGTGTGTGTGTGTGTGTGTGTGTCACATGTGTGCCTGGTGCCCAAGGGCGTCAGAAAAGGGTGTGGATCCCCGGAACTGGAATTACAGTGTTGGAACTGGAACCCAGGTCCTCTGTTAGAACACCCAATGCTCCTGTCCCCTCTGTTGTTACAAGATAGCCCAGAGTTTGGTGCAGTCTCTGGCATGTGAGTGTGCTGCCAGCAGTTCCCTTGTGATGAACGGCAGTTGTTACTGAAGTTCTCTATCTGGGGAGAGTGGCGCCTTGGCCCACTTGTGCTCAGAACTGGATGTAAAGTCATTCTGTTAACTCAGTGCTGACAAGGGGCTCTCGGTTGTTTGGGTTTCCTATGTGCTTCTTCCTACTTTGTGTTAAAGCTCGGAGGCTTTATCTTGATAAGGGTTGACAGTAGACTATCTAGCTTGCACAATACAGAGATGGCGTTTATCTTGAGTCGTAGTGTAGCAGAGGCAGGGGCAGCTGCCTGAAAGCACAGTCTAAAAGGATTCACCTCAAGATGCTAGGAAGTTGTGCAGTGTTGGTCAAGGGTTCTCTGGGGAAAGAGATGCAGAAGTCAGTTTCAGGTCTGGCTTGCTCATCCTAGTGGACATAGGTTGGTTTTCAGTGGCAGGTAAAGCCCTCAGGTTTTGGGTAGTTTGGGTTGATGTTGTTACTAGCCTGTCTGTTGAGTGCCATTTTTTGAGCATCTGTTTTGGTAATCAGTCTTTGTTTATGCTGTATCTCTAATGTATCTGGCACCAGGAGAATTTGCCATAACTTCTTAACTCTTGAGCCTTGAGCATCTAGACAAACTATGCTCTCTCTAGTCAATGGATGTAGCTATGAAGTTGGTGTGGGAACAAAGAAAACACTTCAGTGTAGTTCTAGGAAGAAATGGGCAACATTTCCTAGTCCTTAGTTCTTAGAATAGTGAACTTGTAAAGTAGAGAGTCATATACTTTCTGCTTCCAATGATTTGATCCACATGTCTAAATCAAATAGTTCTAGACTTCTCTGGGACAAAATTGTACATTTTTAAGCCATTTCTCAAGGTTGCCAGCTGTGAGCTTTGAAGGGACGGCTACGGATGGCTTGGTGAGTTGCAGTGATGCATCTGGAGATGGACAGTGGTGTGCTTGGACAATGGTGTGCACAGAACCTTGGGAAAGCATGACGTGGTCCTGAAGGAGAATGCATTTCACTGCTGTCAGTATAGCACATTTTGGTGTGTGTTTCAATGGTGGAAAAGTAACTTAAATGTCAAATGTAATGTCCAAGGAAGGAGCCTTTCATTTTTCACATTTTGTTTCAAATTAGGACAGCAGACAGATGTTCCATTGTATTTGTCAGTTTAACAAATAGGAGAGAATAGTAAAACCCTCAACTTTGCTTTAACTTTTAAAAACTAGTTTTTATATTTGCTAATTAGTTGTAAATGTTATAATAGTTTTAAAATGAATATTCACTTACTAGGCCTATGTATGATTCAGTTAGTCTGCTGGCTTCAATGAAACCATAATGAATCTTCATGAATGTTCATGTATTTATAAGTGATATTCTCTTAATTAAGGTAGTCCCAAATCTGGCCAGGCATGGTGGTATACACCTGTAATCCCAACACTTGGGAGGCAGAGGCAAGAGGAATCTCTTGAATTTGAGGCCACCCTGGTCTACCAATCAAGTTCCAGAACAGTCAGGGCTATACAGAGAAGCCCTGTCTCAAAAATAATTAATAAATAAAGGATAGTCTTAAATGTAACAAAAGTGAAGCATACCATTTAGTTTGGGTGCAGAAGTGAGTGAAAGTTGTATAGTTTTAAGCACCATGTCTTTGAAGGTTTGCACTGTGCTGTGAAGGCCTGATGTTCCTGAACAGTGCAGGCTTGACAACTGTAAGTTTGTCTAGAAAAGGTAAATGATATGCTGAGTCATGGAAGCTACAAAAGTTGATGCACAAACTTTGCTTCATTAAGGATATAATGTTTCAGTGGAAAAAAACCTGGGCTTTAGAATAGATTGTCTCACATTTTTGTCTTACATGAAATAATTTTAACATTTAACCTTTGCGTAACTTACAACTGTGTTTTATTACTTGAGTCTTGAACATTTTAATACTTGGGGAAAGATGATGTAACCCTTCTACGTAATTATGTCTGTGGTAGTATGAAAGTTGTTTGCTTTATTGTGGTTAATAGCCAAACATTTAAGGACACCAAAAAGAAATCCACAAAGTAGCCTGTTGGGTTTGTTGTGTTGTGACAACAGCCTTTAGAGCTAGGTTTATTCAGTGCCATCCGACCCCTTCCTCACGGTCAGTGTCTATGAAATGATTGGAACTGGTTTTCACTTACATTGGTGTGACTGTCATAAATTTCCAGTGACAGGGGTTTGAGACTTAGTGAGTCTGGAACATTGTACATCCAAAGACATGGAGATTAACACCTGTATTCTCCACTGAGATATGCAGTGTTGTCATTAACCGTAAGCATACTGTAACTTCTAAAGGCATTTTGAATGTAATCCACACTAGTTTAAAAGCTAAAACCATACCCTACATAATAGATTTACAATGATGGAAGGTTACCCACATTGACTTTCTGTAAAATGTGTTAAATTTGGTGCAATTCTGCCTGTTTATAATGCATTGCCAATAAAATTGGCTCTGTTTTAGTTGCTGTTTACCATTGTTTCGGCCCCTGTCACTTCGTGTAATTTTAAGTCATTACTGTTACTCTTGGCTGCCATCTCTTGGGACCAAAAAGGTTTATGAAGTTCTGTTTGTGTTAATAGAAATATTAAACGTAGGATCCATTCAGAAATGTGAGCAGCAGGAATGTCATCTTTGTCTTAATTCAGTTTGTCTCTCTCAGCAGGGGTATAGTGGTGGACTAGAGGTATAACCTGGACGAGTAAAGTTCCTTAAGCTTGGGCCAGAACCAGGCCTTCCAGCGGCATGTCCTGCTAGCCTTGGGTCTCAGGCAGAAAGAGAAATTTCTCAGAAAGAGAAATACATTGGTTTTATTTTCTTTAGAGTTCAGCTATATAACTTATCAAAAGTTCTTTCCATGGAGCAGAAAGTCAGTGTAAAACCCTTCTGACGTGCTAGGAAAACGCTATCTCATAGTTTACATCTGACTCTCTGATTAGTTTTCCAAAAGATTGAATTCTGTGTATGCTGTTTGTGAAGGCAGTCAAATAAAAATTGGTGATGAATGAGAATACTGTTCCTGTTTTGTTGTATTTTTAATCTGGAATAGTTTTACACCTACCCCCCCCTCACCATGGCCCCTGATTGAAATGTAAACATCTCTGGTTTGTAGTTACATGTATGACTGGCAAATACTCTTAAATTAAAACAAAGTGTACATATAGCATGGAATTAGAAATATTTATTCAGAATATAAGAATGTTTGTAAAATATTATAAATGTCTCTGTATAAATAAGTGGAGTTTTTTTTAAACAATTCTATATCAAATAACACAAAGTAGCTATTTTACAGCAGCTAAAACTAGAGGCATCTGGAAACATTTAAAGCTTCAAGTGAGCCTAAAAAATTACAAGGTATGTATAGTACAGTGTTTAGTAGCCACTTTAAGATGAGACTTCCGGTACAAACAGAACAGTACTGACAGATGCAAACACAGCCAGGTGTGCTTTAATAACAGGACATTCAAGGCAGGGTTTCCTAATTCAACTGATATCAAAGCACTTTCAATTGATAAAAAATTAAATTTCATGCAAAGTAAGTTAATGTGTCTAAAAGCAGATTAGAAATAGAAGTGAACATGGTTTGTAGTCTTTGCATCAGGTCCGAATAAAATTAGGTCACCACGGCTCTTGATGGGAGCATTGCAAAGGAAGGCTATGGACTCTACAAATGTTTTCCTCCTGACCATGGGAAAGGCAAACGATAGAGCAGAAACATAGCTCCCAGTGTCTCTGTAGGTGTGGAGTTCTCTACAGAACTTGCGTGCAGTTTGCTGATCAGACAGTTCCAGGAGCTTCACATGAGCTACAGGAAGATCAAATGGTAAGTCACGGGTGTCATTATCCAACAGTGGTTCATGGTTCTGGGACCAAGTTTTTTTGGGTTTTGTTTGTTTCTTGTACAAATGTATAAAATATCAGAGAAGGTGTTAAGATTATACTGGATTACCAAAATTGTAATGTTTGCCACCATATGAAAACGTCTTCTATACAAGTGTGCTCGGTTATGCTGGGGTCAGAGAATCTCATATAGGCTATTGGCAGCAGACATATTTCTAAATGAATACAAAGGTGTTTCAAAAATAAGTGAAACAGGAGGCCAGAGTTCAGAGGCCATGGGGACACAACTCTGCACACATTGGAGGGTTATTACAGAAAGCCATGCTTGCTCTCCAGCATTCGCAAGCTGTGGTCAAGATGCTGTTCTGTCACTCTTTGTCATGGAGGTTCTATTGGCTGAACCCAAATTAATGGTTGATTTCTTCCACAATTATCTTGTTCTAGAAGCTGCAGTGTGCCACAGGAAGTACTGATGTCACTTGAGCTCGTGCCCACTCCTTCCCTAGGACCACATCCTAATGAAGATCAGGGCAGAAATTCTAGCCATCGTACACTTGTTCTGTTGGGCCCTAAAAAACTGTGTAGTTCAGTAGGTGACACTGTACACTTAGTGAACACTGGCTTTTGGTTTTGTTTGTTTTTACTACTTAGGGCACTGTGCTCAATGCCTGGAACGTACTCCCAGTTACAAGTTTATAATTAAAAGCATGTATGGAAGTGTTTTGACAAGTAAGAGTTGTGTTTTTGTTACTGTCTTGATGATTTTCTCTACCCTTCACTTACAACATGAGCGTGATAACCCAGACTCCTGGCAGCTCTGAAGTAGTTTACACAGTTTATATCATTGCATAGAATTCTTTGTGGGTACAGAAGCCTGGCAGTTTTCAGTTCATGCCAGTGATGCAGGCATTCCAACCCTGCAGCAAACTAATAGTTTTGTTTTTTTCTTTTCAGGTAATGTTTGTGTATGCAGGAACTAGAGGACTTCCAGTAGTCTCAGGTTTCCTTTAAATGTTAAAGGTTTCCTTTAGAATGAATAAAAGCCTAAGGCTATGCCTTGGACTGCTCTTCTTACAGAACCTGGACAAAGCTCTACTTTAGAGTTCTCCAAAGCCCTTGTAATAAGTTCATGCGTCTGAAAGGAGAACTAAGTGTCAGTTAAATGTGGCATCCAGTTTCTGGCCACACGCATTAAGAAATGTGCCACAGCAGCAGATGAGAGTGAGTGAAAGTTCTTTGCCTCCACTGGTGACATGTGACACTCATTTAGGCCTGGAGTATGGATGGCACAGAGACAGGGATAAACCTCAATCTGATCACATGACTGCCTTTGTGAGTCCGATGCAGGCTTTCTGACTGTTGCAAGGCAAGTTGGGCTGATGCACATGGGGTTGTTCGCAGCAAACCAGAGCCAGTCATGGATAGATCCTCCTGGGACCGCTGCCCTATTGGAGTTTGTCTGCCCCACTTCACAATGGAAGTATAGTCCAAGGGAACCTACAAAGGTCCCTAATGGGCCCTTTGATTCTGCTTATTTATTTATGAGCCACAATTGGCTTTGATTAGTAAAGGGGAGAGGAACAACCACTCAAGACTGGGTAGTGCCGGGCGGTGGTGGCGCACGCCTTTAATCCCAGCACTCGGGAGGCAGAGGCAGGCGGATCTCTGAGTTCTAGGCTGGGCTGGACCGATAGCCTCCAAAACAATACAGAGAAACCCTGTCTCGAAAAACCAAAAAAAAAAAAAAAAGACTGGGTAGTAGTGGGGGTTTCAAAAATAAAACATTCTGAACCACATACAAATTAAAATGAAGATAATTTTGGTAGCAATAGACATGTTAATGAAAGCCATTCCTTATTTAAAAGTAGGTTCAGAAGAGTCAGGTTAAACACAAAGGAAAATTGTTTAGGCACCTGCTATCATGTATTTTAATCAGTGAGACAGTTCACATAATCAGAGCCTGCTGCTTCAGCCCTAAACAAAGATTGGAGATTACAAGGAAAAGAGTGCATAGTCCCTTCCCACTTAGTTTTCACCAGGTCACCATATATTTATGTACTTAGAAACTCAAAGGCCAGGTAGGATTGTTGCTTTGGGTTCTTTGTGTAGGAACTACGGATCTAGAAGCATAGGTTCTCTGGTTTTTCCGGGAGGGGGGTTGGGGGGACACTCAGCGCGTGGGCAGACTCCTCCCTGCTTGAGCCTCACTGTCCTTCCCAGCATCCTGCTCGAGATCCATTTGAGCAGCACATGCTGTCACTGAATCTGATGCACAGAACAGGAAGCCGAGCACTCGTCCCTTACCTGGAAAGTAGTGTCTCCTCAACCAGGACAGCCATGGCCATCCCATTTGCTTGGGGCACACATTTCCTGAAGCTAACTGAAGGGTAATTTTATCTATTCAATCTTGGGGTTGTGGGGAGGCATTTTCCTCATGATAAAATACAACTTTTACCCCAAAAGTAATTACAGTTATTGATGAAAGGCTAGATAGAAAGCCATAAACACGCAAGATCCTTGACAAATTGTTTCTGTTGGCAGGATAAGTAAAACTTGGTACTGGTCTGAGAAAGAAGGGCCGTTGGGCTTTGTGGGCTAGCCATTGTAGGAGAAGGCCTGAGCATCTTTCCCTCACTCACGGAAGGCTGAGGATCGTAGTCTGCTTTCTGAAAGCAGACCCACCCATAGCCTCGAGTCTATAGTATCATCATAGTGTCTAGTCAGGACAGTGGACCCATTGCTCATGGCAGATGGGTAGCATCTTGGGGACTACAGGTGGAGAAAGGCCAAACTGTTCTCTAATTGTATCTGTGAGCAGTAGAAGTCAAAACGGTGAAGGCTACAAATAGGAAACATTTATTCTAGGATGCCCTCCTAGAGGAGTTCAGGTACTTAGGTCATGCATCTTGGTCACCATTTAGCTTGAAATCACATCTGGAGGGACAGAAGAGGCCTATCAGCCATTTCCTCACCCAATCCCCTTCATGATGTTGGGGACTAAAGGTTCAGTGGCACTCAAACAGGTGGGAACCGTCTTGTACAACATTAAAGGTCTCTTCAGTGTCCAACAATGTAAAGCCTCTTGCTCTTAGAGAGGCAGGGCCCAGCTACACACTACATACCTGCTCCAAGTGGCTAGGTTTGATTCGGAATAGGAACTGTGGTGCCTGGGACTGGGAAAGAACTAAAACCGCTTTTCTCTGCCCTGGAAGAAACCCCTGGTAAAATCTTGGCTTCGAGATATTATTTATATATAAATATATATATCATAACTCAACTAATGCCTCTATGTGACTGGACCTCAGGAATCAGGTACCAAAGACCTGGAAGCCAGAGCCTTGTGCTGCAGTGGGCTGCCAGCCCTAGATGCTGGAGACACATTTTCCCTTGAAGGAGGAAGGAAGAATCCAGGTTTCAAAAGAAAAGTCCAGTCTATGAAAAGTAAAAACAACAAAAAAAGAAAGGCAAAAATGGCTCAGGAGTCTGCATAAAACCAAATGCCAGGATTCCTACTGCTACACAGAACAAGTGAGCGCATGAGAACTTGAGTGGTGAAACCACAAACGACATGGCTAAGCTGGGGCCATTGCTGATGCCCTCTGTGGCCAGGCCTGGAGCAGCCGGGACCTGTGCGTAGAGTCCACAGTGCCATGGTGACCACTCACGCCAAGGGTGGAGCCTGTGACCTGTCTGCAACCTTCCCCTTCCTTGGGCCCAGTCTCCACTGAGGACTTAAGAGCTGCTGGGGTTTAGCCCCTTGAGGCTGAGCTTTGGGGCCGGATGCCTGTCACAGTGAAGTTTCGTTGGTGTGCGGCCTGGAATTCTCTTCCTCCAGCAGAGCTATCCTTTGCTTGAGCATTCTCACTTGGGTTTCGTGCCGCTCCACCATAGCCATCATCTGAGATTCCAGCTTCTTGAGCTTGTTTTGGTGCTTCTTCTTTGCCTTTTCATAGGCAGCCACCAGGTTACTGTGTGGGAACAGAGAAGCAAGATTCATCCTAAGGAATAAGTGATGCTCTGTCCTGTGTGGTGCTGGGAGCGCAGCTGGCCCTTCACTAGGCATCCAAAGTGCAATGATTAGAAAGTGCACAGTGCTAGGAGTCTGACCTAAGGATACTAATCCAGGCCCAGGCTGTCTGCTGCGTTAGCGCAGAGGGGTTAACCAACAGCCCAACTGGCCACATCCAAAACAGGTAATGAAGTTGCTGAGTTCTAGAAAATCAAATACAGACACACTTGTCTTGTGGCAGCTAGCTACAGATGACCAAGTGTAGCATAAAGGGTTAGGAGAGGGGCAGCAGATTTGCTGTAAGGAAATGCTATTCTCTATAGAGCATGGGTGTGTGACCTGGCCCTGGACCACTGCCCACTGCAGTAAGGCTGCAAACGAGCCAAGGTGTATCTACACACTACCTTGGCTCCAAACTGGAACATAAGCTCCCCTCAGGTACACTGTCACCCTAGCTGGAATTCCTAAAGTGTGACTTGAGGACACACACCTCTCTAAGATTCTGAAAACCTCTGTCAGAGGGTCTTATGTTGATGGCAAAGTAGACTGACATTCAGGTAGCCTATTAAGCCAGGCATCTTTACAAAATTAAAATGTGCTATTCTAATTACAATTTGGAAAACAGTATTTTTCATAAAAGTGTAACACCTACTAAGCTTGAATTCTGTAAATGAATAAAAACTTTTAAGTCAATTTTAGTTCCTTATATAAATGTTCTGGGTGAGGTATTGCTGTAATAGATGCTTTGATTGCCAATTGAAAACACTGGCTCAACCAGATTTTTTTTTTTCTTTTTGCACGACTTCTGAGAACCTTTATTACAGGAGATGTCATGGAAAGATCACAGTGGACTTTATTTCCCTACACCCATTTGGTATGAAATGGGTGGTATTCATGGTTAATTTCCTGGGTTTCTAGTCAGCTCTATGTCAGATTCTATACTCATTTCCCAGGAGACAGGGAAAGATCTCCCGGTGCCCAGCTTCTTTTTTACCTGTTGGCCCGTTTTAGGTCATTAACAAACTCTGCTGACTGCTGGTGTCGGATCTCACTGCTTTTGGTGAGTCTTTCCAAAGCGCTGACCAGCTCTTGAACTCTGGCCTTCAGCTTCTTCTCTCTGTATCAAAGAGACAGTAGCAGCCATCAGCAGGGTTGGTGATGGTGGGAAGGAGGCAGGGGGAGCTGGGTCCAAAGCACAAAGATAGCAGTGGGCTGAGGGCACAGCTTCTTGGCTCTGTACAGCCAGAATGAGCATTTCTCATCACTGCATTCTCAGAGCCTGCTTTTTCAGTGAGCCTTCTAGAGATCTTCAAAGAATGCCCCATGGAAGAAGACAAGAGTTGGTGCTGCTGGTATAGATGTTCCTTCAGTGGTGACCACAAACCCTCTGCCTCTGTGTCTAAGCAGCAGCTCCCAACTCTGTGCCTGGGTTGCCTACTTGGACAAGTTCTTGCTCATTACCAGATCATAAGGAAACAAAGCTGGTGGTACTGGAGAAAGAAATCAAAATGGCATTTGTTTCATCATAAAAGTCTCATTCAAAGTCCTCCTTTCTCAGTAAAGTACTTAGATTCCATTTGCACTTTGATTAGACGCCATGTGTTCTCTACTGTAGTGACTCATGCTGTGACAGGAAGCCGGCAGGGTGCTTTCCAGAGTCCTGGCAGCTTCTGATTTATAGTGTCCCTGTCATAATATACTTGGCAGCCTGGCCTCACTGAGTTAGTTCCCTGCACCAACACCTGAGCACTATGCCTCACTGATAACGAGAGCTGCCTGATTCACAGGTAGTCTTCGGGCTTCTTGAGAATCCAGGACGTAGGAAAGAAATGACACTACAAGTGTGAAGACTACAAATCACACTGATGAATCCCTGTGCCTGCTGGGATTGGTAATATTCAAAATACTAGCAGAAGATGCACACATCCCTTTAACTAAGCAAACTAATTTCTAGAAATACCTTAAATATTTGTGCATATCACCCCAAAGGTGTGTCAGTTCAGTTGAAGCTGGAATCACTTCAGCTTGCCTTACAAGGAGAGATGGCCTGGCAAGTTGGCTCATTGGGTAAAAGCACTTGCCACCAAAGCATGCCTGATGACCCGAGTTCCACCTTCAGAATCCACACAGTAGAAGGAAAGAACTGAGTCTTTGTCTTTTTGACCACTACAGCATGATGGTGCACACACACAAAGACCAGGGAGTGTTTGAATTAATCAAGACCTGTCCATGTTGCCAGGTGGTGGCATACGCCTTTAAATTAATCCAAGCATTTGGGAGATAGAGGCAGGTGGGTGTCTCTGGGTTGCAGACCAGCCTGGTCTACAAGAGCTAGTTCTAGGACAGGCTCTAAAGCTACACAGGGAAACTGTCTTGAAAAACCAAAGATCTGTCCATGTCACTGCAATACCTGTGGATAAATCTGCCTAAAATGAGATCAATATGCACTGACATGGAAGTATAGAACATTGTTTTTATTTAAAAAAAAAAACTACTAGGAATTGGAATGTATTGTGACGATTCAGCAGTGGTTGGGGAAGGGGTTAGCAGAAGGCTTCATTATTTCACTCATTTTTGCATTATTTGAACATTTTTATAAGGCATGTGAGCAAGCACATCATGGAATGCAGGCCAGATGGGGTTTTCTGTTCTCAGATCACTGAATGGTTTCAGTGCTTAGAATGCTTGGAAAGGGGAGGGGCACAGCAACCAAGATGGCTGCACCCACTGTGACCTATGTGTCTCTGACCCTTGTTTTCCCTTCTTGATCTCTCTAGTATCTAAATCATTGGTATTTCAAGACAACTTGACCTGTCCAAACTGATGAATGGAAGAACACAAAACCTAAGGGAAAAAACATGGCAACCAGCCTGTGCTATGGAGACTCATTCTTCACTGGTCCTTCCACCTGCCTTAGCTACAGGAAGGTTGGCCACAGGGCAGGCAGGAGTGAGGATGTTCATCTCCCCATGCTGGGGAACATGCTTATCCTGAGCAGTGGCAGTCTCTAAGAACATCTGGTCTAGCTGTGTTTCCCACTGCAATCATGGTGGCATTCCACGCTGGAAGACAGGGAAGGTCTCCCTCTGTTCCTAAGTCTTCCAAGCAGCCCCCTCCTGCTGAGGCAAGGTTAGGAGAGCTGCAGGGACACTACTTCACCCAGCCCTCATTGGCTGAAATGTTACTTAGGTTTTGTTAATAGATTTGATTTCTTACAAAAATTTGATTGTGTCTGTGCATATATGAGGTGTCATGTATGTACAGATGTCATAAGGTTGATTAATTGTACAAAAGGACAAGAATAACTTGTGGAAAAAAACTAAAAGTGAAATCAACTCAAAGAAATTCACAGCAAAAGTCTACAACAAATGGCTTCCTTCCCTAGCAATTGGGCTCTCACAGACCCAGGGAACTTTATGGACCTGGTAGACTCGACAGTAGAACATCGCCCCCTCCACCCCCCAAAAGTGAAGATGCTCTCAGACCTGCCCATCCCCAGCTTGAGGTGATATGGAGTATTGCCAGCTCTGGGAACTCAGAATTGCCCCTCTGGAACCACTCAGCTACAGAAGAGAGAAGTATAGGCATCAGGAGAACTATGCCACTTATTTGAAGATGCAAAAATAGGCTATACCTCCAACGTGGGTTCTTTTGGTTGTTTGAGAAAGACAGACCTCTGTAAGAGTCAAGGCATAGATCAATTTCCAAGATCCCAACAAATGCTATGCTGAAGTAACACTGCATATCTAATGTGGAAGCCAAGAGATGCCTAAAACCCTGACAACATGCCAAAATATTGCTATGTTGAGTTACATATAATAGTGGCATTCAGTCACATTTTAAGGGAACAGTGATAGGAATTGAACCCTGGGAAAGTGTTTACCCTAAGCTATACTCTATGCTGTTAAAATGAATTTCACACGTTTTACATTTTTAATGTGGAATTAAGAAAATTGAAAATGATGTGACCTGGAGCTCAGATGATGGCAGAAAGAGAATTATGGGCACATAAGAAGGAAAGAGACCCTTGGCCCAGCTGGTTAAAGCCTCTTGTTGGCAAATCATCAAGAACTGAGCTTGACGCTTCTCTCCCTTGCCAGCTACAGACAAGGAAAGAACATGTACTAATTCCTAAAGTATCTGGAGTCACCTTATAATCTCACCTATCCAATAGGGAGATGGGAGCGGGGCAACCTTTTAAAATAGGACTTGAGAGAAACCCAAATGGCAAATATAGTTAATGCTGAGACAGCTGTGACTCTGCTCTGACACACACCTGGGTATGTCTAATTTTTGCTGCCCTACCTTGGTGAGCATATACCAAACTTTCTTTCTGGGTGCATGTACAGTTAGGAGAACTAACCTTCATGCTTAAAATATCTTCAATAAAAGCTCAAATCTCTGCTGTATACTGACCATTCCTGAAATTCTTTGCAGGGTCAAAGTCATGACTCTGGCTGGGCCTGGCCTGAGTTGAGGTCCATGGGAAATTAAGGAAACTTCTTGAGCTGTTCTCCACTCACAGGATGACTTGGAAAATCTAAGACTCCGTTTGCCTATTTCAGTCATTTTGAACTCTCAGCCGTTAATGTGCCTGGCCGTGAGAAAGGGAAAAATTTATGTGGTTTCCTGTACCTAAAACAGTATGCCAATGCAAGCGTTTTCTTTGGCTTCACACATGAGAAAATTAAATATAAATTGCTCCCTCAGTACAAATGCATTCACGGTGTTCTGGAGATGGCCTGGAATTGCAGTCTCTTGTTATTTTGTTTGTTGAGAATATCATCAGACAGAATAACTGTGTGTGGAATAGGACTCGAAGACCAACCATCCAGTTCAGGTCTCAATGATGGGCCTTCCCACTCCAGCGTTCAGCACCCTTACCAAAACATGCACTATTTATGGTCATAACAGGTATTATTTTACCAGCCAGGAGGTGGTTTGGCTTGGTGTGTGATGTCATAATTCTAAGCAGTGGAGTACTCATAATGAATCTAAGACTATCAGGGTACTAAGGAAAGCCAAGTCAGCTGACCTATAAGATAGGGAAGGGGCTGGTAAGCAGGTCCTGAGGCAAGACTTGCCTATGGACTGGTTACCAGAATCACAACAGGACAACTGGGTGTCCTCTAAGAAGGCCAGTAGAAGTAATCTGTTGCATCTCCAACGAGCATGTACCCAGTCCTGTGGAGGTCTCGAGTGGCTTAACAGCAGGCTATGGCCATTCACAAGAACTGAATTCAGAATCACAGACCTGTACCTGCAGGCTGGGTTCCCCATGGGACCTGTCTGCTCACACCATTCCTGTCTTCCTCACATTCCAAGCACTCCAGTCGCAGTTAGCACCCCACTCCCCATGGCTTGCAAAGCCAGCTACAGCAGTCGGCATACTTACTGTATCATGAACCTCTGGGTTGTTGATCAGTGCAGGACCCCAGGGCCCATCTGCATCTGTGTTTCCCTGCCTTCCCTCTAAACTCCACTTCTGAAAATTAGTAATTACTTAGGACTAGATTTCATCTCTTACCCTTTCTTGAGGTTTGTCCACTGCCCTTAAAACTACATGGCCACATCTGGATCTCCGGGCTTCTCCTGGGACCTCTGGGCCTGATGCCTCCCATGTAACAGCATCATTAGCTGAGTTACCAGAAGAGGACGCCTCTTGTGTTGACACAGGGCTCACCATTATTTACCGTGTGTAGAATCACAGCCGGACCCTCCCTCCCATTACTATCTGCCTACATTTGTTATCAGACTCTCTTGACTTCACCACCACCAGGTCCAGACCACCATCCTTCTGCACCTAGCTAAGCATGGCAGCCTGCTGGTCACCACCGCTCCCCTGACCCGCTTCTCGTCTGGCTTTCACACAGTACCAGGTCTCTCTTTCAGTGTGGAAAATCGGGTCAGAATACTTCCTTCTGTATCATGACTGTGCCTCCGGTTACCTTAAAGGTTGTGATGTCCTTCCTCAGTGGAAATATCACCTCTCAGACGGCCATCAACAGAGGACAAATGGCCCGAAGTTAGGGACTTCACAATGCTTTGCCTTTCCTTCCTGTTATTCATGGCCAGCTAGATGTGCCACGGCTTGCCTAGATGCCTTCTCTATTTCTT